AGGGATCAGATGCTCTCAGGCTTTCTCCTAAGGTCTGGATCCCTCCAGGAAAGATTTTTGCCTCAGGAATTTGGGAGTTGGACTAGCCTGGGAGCAGGGCCCAGGAGAGATACTGGCTTTTGGCAACTGGTGGCCATGACACTCAGCAATGCAAAGGGAGATGGGGGCAGGAAGAGGCCCTAAGGGCTCCTGGGGACTGCACCGAAGATAGTGTTGGTCTGGGTGCAAAGGATCAGGAAGCCCAAATATCAGCCCAGGCGACCAGGGAAGAGGCTGGGGGTTTGTGCAGTCCAGGAAAGTAGAGGGAGGTGAGGGCAGGACCAGGCCCTGAGGGATCCTGGGGACCTTGAGAAGGAACTGGGTCCATCTGGATGCAAAGGATCAGGAAGCAGTGGTGGCCCTAGGCCGAGAGGTCGACCCCGGGGTCCAGGAAAGAGACTGGCAGGCCGTGCAGCCCAGTAAAGCAGAGGGAGGTGAGGGTGGGACCAGATCCAGAGGGCTCCTGGGGACCATGAGAGGGAACTGGGTTGGTCTGGATGCAAAGGAACAGGAAGCAGTTGTGGTTCCTCCCGTGTCTGGGGTGCCAAGACAAGGAATGGAACAGGACCCAGGCTAGGAGGAAAGACAGGCCGGGGAGATGAGAGGGTGAATGAGGCTGGAGGAGTCAAGGCACAGAGGGCCCGATTGACTTACCCCAGGGAGAGAGGCCTGCAGGTCGTGCAGGCCCAGGGAAGCAGAGGAAGGAGAGGGTGGGCCGGGCCCAGAGGGCTCACCCCAGAAGGAACTAGGTTGGTCTGGATGCAAAGGATCAGGAAGCAGTGGTGGTTCCCCAGGTGTCTGGGGCTCCAAGACAAGGAATGGGACAGGACCCAGGCTAGGAGGACAGACAGCCAGGGGAAATGGGAAGGTAAATGAGACTGGGGGACTCAAGGCATGGAGGGTGCGATAGACTTACCCAGAGAGTGGTCAGCAGGTCGTGCAGGCCCAGAGAAGCAGAGGGAAGTGAGCAAATTATTTTTATTTTTATCTTTATAAATTTTCCATAATAAAATGTATATT